ATTCAGATTCTTTTCGTCCGACATAAATATAGAAAATGAGATTCTTTTGAGTAAAAAATTTTTTTTAGTATATATGATTCAGGAAAAAATCTGAAAGTTTTTTCTCACATTGTAGTTAGAATGTTTTGTTGTCCTGCAAAGTTTAAAATTCATATGTTGTTTTATTTGAAAGAAACAAAAAGACAAAAGTGCTAGCACGAATCGCGATGCAGAAATAGATGCCTAGATAAGGGGATGTACCAAAGCCTATGCTTTCTCAAATGTTAACCGTACACGGACGACATGCGCCTTGTTATGTGATGACCCACAAGTATATGAGATCTATCGTAGTCCTTTCAATAAGTAAGAGTGTCGAACCCAACGAGGAGCAGAAGGAAATGATAAGCGGTTTTCAGTAAGGTATTCTCTGCAAGCACTGAAATTATAGATGACAAATAGTTTTATGATAAGATAATTTGTAACAAGCAATAAGTAACAAAAGTAAATAAAGTGTAGCAAGGTGGCATAATCCTTTTTGTAGCAAAGGACAAGCCTGGACAAACTCTTATATAGATAAAAGTGCTCCCGAGGACACATGAGAATATCGTCAAGCTAGTTTTCATCACGTTCATATGATTCGCGTTCGGTACTTTGATAATTTGGTATGTGGGTGGACCGATGCTTGGGTGCTGTCCTTACTTGGACAAGCATCCCACTTATGATTAACCTCTTTTGCAAGCATCCGCAACTACAACAAAAGTATTAAGGTAAACCTAACCATAGCATGAAACATATGGATCCAAATCAGCCCCTTACGAAGCAATGCATAAATTAGGGTTTAAGCTTCTGTCACTCTAACAACCCATCATCTACTTATTACTTCCCAATGCCTTCCTCTAGGCCCAAATAATGGTGAAGTGTCATGTAGTCGACGTTCACATGACACCACTAGAGGAGAGACAACATACATCTCATCAAAATATCGAACGAATACCAAATTCACATGACTACTAATAGCAAGACTTCTCCCATGTCCCCAGGAACAAACGTAACTACTCACAAAGCATATTCATGTTCATAATTAGAGAAGTATTAATATGCATATAGGATCTGAACATATGATCTTCCACCAAATAAACCAACTAGCATCAATTACAAGGAGTAACTAACACTACTAGCAACCCACATGTACCAATCCCAGACTTGGAGACAAGAATTAGATACAAGAGATGAACTAGGGTTTGAGAGGAGATGGTGCTGGTGAAGATGCTGATGGAGATTGACCCCCTCCCGATGAGAGGATCGTTGGTGATGACGATGGCGATGATTTCCCCCTCCCGGAGGGAAGTGTTCCCGGCAGAATAGCTTCGCCAGAGCCCTAGATTGGTTCCGCCAAGGTTCCTCCTTGTGGCGGCGGAGTCTCGTCCCGAAAGCTTGCTTATGATTTTTTTTCTCATCAAAAGACTCCATATAGCAGAAGATGGGCATCGGAGGGCCACGAGGCAGGGGGCGCGCCCCCACCCTCGTGGGCAGGGTGTGGCCCCCCTCTGGAACTTCTTGCGCTTAGTATTTTTTATATTTTTTGAAAATGACTTCCGTGAAGTTTCAAGACTTTTGGAGCTGTGCAGAATAGGTCTCTAATATTTGCTCCTTTTCTAGCCCAGGATCCCAGCTATCGGCATTCTCCCTCTTTATGTAAACCTTGTAAAATAAGAGAGAATAGGCATAAGTATTGTGACATAATGTGTAATAACAGCTCATAATGCAATAAATATTGATATAAAAGCATGATGCAAATGGACGTATCAATTCCCCCAAGCTTAGACCTCGCTTGTCCTCAAGCGAAAGCCAAAATCGAAAAATATGTCAACATGTTTAGAGATAGAGGTGTCGATAAAAAATAAAATACGGACATGAGGGCATCATGATCATTCTTAGAACAACAACTTATATAATTCTTGTCATATAATCTCTTTTGCAAGAGTAACAATTCAATCACAATTTCAAGTATGAATCATAAACTTCATTGAAAACTAACAAACTATAATCTCAGTCATTGAAGCAATTACAATTTATCATAACATAAGAAAGAGTCAATATAAGAGCTTTTCAGCAAGTCCACATACTCAACTATCATATAGTCTTTCACAATTGCTAACACTCACGCAATACTTATGGGTATGGAGTTTTAATCGGACACAGAGAAAGATAGGGACTTATAGTTTTGCCTCCCAATGTTTTACCTCAAGGGTAATGTCAACAATAATAGTTCATGAAAACTCACGTCCAATTATCCATATATACCAGGATTTTTCCAACATGTTGTGCTTGCCAAAAGATAAAATGTAAAAAGGAAGGGTGAAGATCACCATGACTCTTATGCAAGGTAGGAGATAAAAGTAAAAGATAGGCCCTTCGCAGAGGGAAGCAGAGGTTGTCATGCGCTTTTATGGTTGGATGCACAAAATCTTAATGCGAAAGAACGTCACTTTGTATTGCCACTTGTGATATGGACCTTTATTATGTAGTCTGTCGCTTTTATTTCTTCCATATCACATGATCATATAAAGCTTATTTTCTCCCACACTAATAAGTCATACATATTTAGAGGGCAATTTGTATTGCTTGCACCGATGAAAACTTACTTGAGGGATCTTACTCAATCCATAGGTAGGTATGGTGGACTCTCATGGCAAAACTGGTTTAAGGGTGTTTGGAAGCACAAGTAGTATCTCTACTTGGTGCAAAGAATTTGGCTAGCATGAGGTGGAAAGGCAAGCTCAATCATGTTGGATGATCCATGACAATATAATTTATCTCAGATGTAAGAAAACATAACCCATTATGTTGTCTTCCTTGTCCAACGTCAACTCTTTAGCATGTCATATTTTAATGAGTGCTCATAATCATAAAAGATGTCCAAGATAGTGTATTTATATGTGAAGACCTCTCTTTCTTTATTACTTCCTATTAATTGCAACGATGACCAAAACTATGTTTTTCAACTCTCAATAACTTCTATTCATCATACTCTTTCTATGTGAGCTCATTACTCTCCATAAGATCCATATGATCTCTTTGTTTCTTTTTATTTTTTTATCTTTTCTTTTATTCACTCAAGATCATGGCAAAATAATAAAGCCCTTGACTCAACACTAATCTTTATTATAAATAGCTCACGAACTCGATTACATAGAAGGATCATAAAGCAAAACTCACAACTAGATCATGCTAAAACTTTATGCTACTAGATCAAGATATTACCAAAAGGATCAAACTAAGAAAAACGGTAAAGATAGAAGTGA